TGTCGTTTACCACTAGGTACATGACTTGTTCGTACCGACAGGAAAAATATAGATCACAGATCTATTGACTAATTAAACAATTTAACCCATTACGAAACTGACTTCAACTTGAACCATATTGATATACTTAGTTGGTAATTCGGCATGAAAAGGAAAAAATACGAAGCTTATTACGCAATTTTTCATAACTTATAAATTTTTTGTTTACGCTCTTTTTTTAAACACTGATGGTGTCTATTTTAACTGATTTTAACACAATCCTTACATGAAATTCGGTCAAAGAAGAAGTTTGGTCTCTTAGTAAGCAGTTTATTAAAATTTAATAGAAACCAAAGTGGTAATGTTTGATTTCACATTCAACTTAAAGTTGGTTAACATATAGGCCAATGTTTGTTCAGGCTTACTTGGGGTATAATGTGGCCCCTAAATTTGGATTGAAAATATGAAGTGGTATAGGGAGACGTACCAAATATTGGATACGTGCACAATACTGGATACCCCGCTATAATGAAAACTAAACAACACCATCTTTATTTAAAAACTAGAACTACTTCGTCAATATAAGTTACCAATATTTTGGTAGTTGTCTGCGCCATTTTTGCCTTCAGTTAGCTGTAAACATTCAAAGTGTATTTTTCTGTTCGACGATTTTTTCAGATCTTGACTTCAAAACGCTGCTAAAGTACTGTAAGTGATATTATATTTTGTAACAGTGTTATATACTAGCTGGGCGCATAGTTAGAATACAGAAGTTAACGCATTTTTAGCGAAAATTGCGCAGGGTGAAATTTTTGTAACCGATTATTGTACAATTAGGTAGTTACCTCAATATTGGATACCTACAATACTAAACATCCGATATTGGGGTACCTACATGACTCGTATAATGTCTTTCATATTCAAATGTTTAATTATTTGTTTAGATGGGGATCATTACAAAAGATGACCGTTTAGATTTTTTGCCTACTGCTTTTGCAAATTTAAAAGGTACGTTTAAATGCATGCCCCGGTTAATAGAGTGTACCCTATAACTGGATATCCAATATTAAATAGTACCTATACCCTGTATTGGATATCCATTCTTAGGGTGCGTGTGAAAACGATTTTTTCTTTAATTAATGAGAAATTTAATTAAAACAAAATAATTATGTAAAAAATAAATGAACATTGATATAAGTTTAATTCATTTTCTAATGTAGTCTTTAGATAGAAAATGACTGTGAATGCAATAAATATATTTTTTTAAATATTATGTTAGTGTTTTTTTCGAATGTCAAAAAGTATCCAATATTTGGTACCTACCTCTCCCTTATTATTAGCAACACACGATCATAAATTCCCTCGTAACGCGCAAGGGATTGCATATTGGGAGAGCATACCTAAGTTGATAAAAAAAGCCAATGATATGTGGTCTAACAACAGTATTCAGCTTAGAATATTTTAATATTGATAAGGTAGCTCTCAAACGAGACCAAGGAGTACTATAACAATACGCGTTTTTATAATTCGGGCAATGACTTTACATACTGCCGTTCGAATATCAAAATCTATAATAGATAATAACCATGATAAATTGATAAACTAAATTAAATAAATAGGTACCAAAATATCTTACATATCACGTTAATGCTACAGAATAAGACATAATGAAAAAGGCACGCAAAATAGTAACCTATAAATAACTTTGCTGGCTAGACTATTGAATTCTTTATTTTGGTTTTGGTTACGATAATTTACCTTAAATTTAGTTTTCTTTTCTACTTTAATATCCATATACTCATAGGTTTAATTGACCTCTAGATGTTAGTCATTGAATGTTGTGTACATCTGTTATTGGCTTGTGTATCGGAGTTTGTTATCTTTAGTTTTTTTAAGTTGTTTGAATGTATTAATACACATGCTGTTGACGTGGCTTATGAAAATAAATAAATAAACTTGCATTTCTATATCGACTGATGCCTAGAGTAATACGTAAACTGATACGATTGGCTATAATAGATAACGGCAGTTCAAAAGGCGTTACAGTGTAATTTGTTGCCTTAGGATGAACTTGTGCTGCGTTACAAATAACAAACTGCACAAACATTTTATGTTACAGAGTAGTATCAGTAGTAGTCTAATTGACACTGTGGTAGTATTCAATCTTTGAATTTTTAATTAGCGATTATTATTAGAAAAGTCTAACTTTAACCTAAGTCAAAGTAACTTATGAAGAAATATCACTCATATAATCTATTTGTTACATACACCATCAGTTAATGTAAGAAACAGATTGTGCTGAATCAACTGTATATTTTGAAACGTTTGGTATTCTATTGCAGTTATTTCTTGCGATATTTTGCGGAATCTGAGAGTTAGAAGTTTAAGTTTCTAAACTTTTACGGTTTTATAGTATTCTTTCCGCATAACCAAGAGGTTGATAGGGAGGGTCACTATGAACAAAATTTATGTAAAAATATGTGGGACTGAGAAGTTAAACACAATATATTGTATATACCGTGTTTTTTTAACTGGGATAGAATGGGGAAATCCGAAACCGTACAAGTTACAGGGAAACTGACTTAGGAATGATTTAGTCTTTTAGTAAGAAAACAATTTTGGTTAGCGTCAGTTGTCCTTAAAAAACTCACGCTTGACCAAAAATTGACAATGCTAGAATTGTTTTCACAAAAAAAAGACTTAATGGTTCCTTAGACAGTTTTCCTGTATCTCCTATAGTTTCCGATTTCCGCATTCCTACTGTACATTAGTACTGTATATTACATTGTACATTCGCATAATACAAATAATAATCTCAGTACAGAGTACAAAAAAACCGACCTCAAAATTACGTGGAATTACGTCTATTTGCTAAGTTTTATTGAAGTATCCCTAGTTCGACACAGTACAGGACTTGACACTGGAGATAATAAAAATCGGTTCTCACTACTCAAAGTATATTGAGAGAAAAACGCCTTGAATTGGAGAAATAGCAAAATCAACCATTTAAGTAATTGCTCCTAAATTAATGTTAGGCGCTATTTATGAAAATGAATCATCATGCGTGAACAGCCACCCTTTGCGGTGGATGATTTTCTCCAAAATGAAATGGGACCACTAAGGAAGTACCCCCTTTCCGACAAAAAAGGAATCATGAAAATCGGTTCACAAATACCGGAGTTATCGCGTAATATACAGGGTGGGCCAAAAATTTTTGCACATTTGAAACATTAATAGAAATAAAACTACAAATATGATTTTGTTGATCATTTTTTTTAACGTCATAAACATTTATTAAAATTTATTTTTTTTAAATAACATCATCGAGATGTGCTCCGTCTCGTCGTTGGCACTCCTGTAAACGACTACGCAAACTTTGAAAAACTCGCTGACACATGCTGCGAGGTATCGCGGCTATCTCCTTCTGAATATTTGATTTTAATTGGGAAATTGTTGTCGGTTTATTAAGATACACTCGACTTTTCAAGTATCCCCACAAGAAAAAATCGCATGGTGTAAGGTCCGGGCTTCTCGGAGGCCATGGGATATCACCTCTGCGAGAAATCAGTTTGTTAGGGAATATTTCTTTGACCACCGGTAAAGTCACATTTGACGTATGGCATGTTGCTCCATCTTGTTGCATCCAAGTCCTGCTGTTGTATCCTTCAAATTCACGTAACTGTGGTGCCAAGAAATCTTGCAACATCTTTATGTATTCCACTGAGTTCACAGTCATGTTATTTCCTTGGTTATTTTCGAAGAAATACGGACCGATTATGCCTTTTGCTGATATGACAGCCCATACTGTCGTTTTTGGTGAATGAAGCGGCTTTTGGTGTTTACGGCGAGGGTTTTCCTTGCTCCAATATCGACAATTGTGTTTATTTACATGACCATTGATGTGAAAATGGGCCTCGTCCGTAAACAACACATTCTCAAGACTAGAGAATCGCTCCAACATAGTGTCAGCCAATAACTTACGTTGAATGTAATCATTTGGTTTCATTTCATGCACAATCTGAAGCTTATATGGGTGTAATTTGAGGTCCAGATGCAGAATTCGCCGCAGACTAGTTCTTGGTATTGCCAGAGCCGCCGAACGCTTACACGTAGATGATTCTGGATCGTTTCTTACAGAAATTTCAACTTCGCGAATGTTTTCACCACTTCTTCTTGAACGTGGCCGCCCTGTTTGTTTGATATTCATCGTTGATCCGGTTTCCTCGAACTTGTTGACCCAAGCCTTGATTAAATTAACACTTGGACACTCATTTATACGGCGTAATCCGTATTCAATCCTAAATAGGCGTCGTACAGTAACGTAAGAATCGTTGTTTTTGTAAAATTGTTTTACACAGAAAGCACGCTGTTGTCCCATGAAGCGCTCCATTGTGACTAAAATTGCATGAAGTTACGCACAACTCCCTGCCACCCGCGCACCCCTCCCTCTTACGGTTTTTGAGATATGCAGTGTTGCTATTTGCAAAAATTTTTGGCCCACCCTGTACATACAAAAAAAAAGAAAAAAGAAAAAAAAAGAACATACAGTCGAATTGAGAACCTCCTCATTTTTGAAGTCGGTTAAAAAGGAGGATGCTCTCATAAATCGATTTTTTTATGTATGTTCCGCGATAACTCGCGGTTTGTGAACCGATTTTGATGATTCTTTTTCGTTAGAAAGACAGTACCTCAGTATTGGACCCATTTAAATTTAAACGAAACATTCGACTTCTAAAGTGGCAAACTAGAGAATGAATCCGATTTCGCGCAATTTCCGTTAACCGATTTCAATAAAACTTGGCAAGTAGATGTAATTCCACTAGGTCGGTTTTTTTTTTTACAAAAATGTTACCATTGTTTGGTAGAGTGGTTAATAGTTAATTTTGCAGAGCCAGGCGTTCATAAGTAGTGAAGACCAATATTATCGACTATATGTATATCTATTTCTACGGCAGCAGCTACGAAACATCACACGCAGAATGTCATGCGATAGAGATTAATGAACTTAAAGAAAAAATTACCTTATTATCACTGTCAAGGTAATAGTAAGCCAGTAGTGCGTCATTGTGTGCAGTCACACTGAGGATGTGCTCGAACGTATCGGTTTCGCTGATGGCGTCATTGTAGGACACTCGGAACTCGCTCGCCCGCCTGAGGAAGATGATAAAAGAATTAAATGAATTTATGTTTGGTAGAATTGTCAGCGATCATAGTTTAGTGGAAGTACAGTCGTTTTTCAATTATATTAAACAATTTTTAAGTTACGTACTATTTTTTTTTTTATTTATGATTGGGCAGTTCTAATGAAATTCCGAAACTCGTGCTTTATATATTTATGAAAATTATTAGGAAGAATTTGTATTTATTTTTTGTAAATTTCATAGTACTTATGTAAATGGTTTTTGATGATATAGTGGTTCCCAAAATAAATTACTAAAAAAAGATGAGGTTAGTCAGAACATTTGAGGATGATGGAATGACGGCGAGGGAATGACGAAATCAAATAAACCAAGAAAAAATAGAGATGTAAACTTACTTTTAGACTTAATATATTGTGTGTAAACTTACTGCTACCAATAACTCATCTGAGTGTGTGATTATAATTAATTAATAAAATCAATTGCTTAACTTCTTTTCATATGATGTGAGGGAATGACTGCCAAAAATTAAACTTAGAATTTTAAATTAAATCTTTTCGTAGTAGACACTTTTTGCACACACAAGTTGAATTTTGTCATTATGAAATGTTTACAGTGCTGCTAACTTTCAAAAACTTATATATGCTTTTAGCAAAGATTAAAAATGCGTTCACAAATCGAGTGAAGGTAAAAGTGTGAGTGAATTATTTTTTTAGGTTGGGACATCAATAATATACCATACCACACCATACCATACATTTTTTAAATTTATTTATCATGTTTTTATCACAGGATACCTTTAATATTTTATTTGATGGAATGTTTAAAATTTTAAGGTTATTTTTGTTAAATGTGTTGATTTAAAGCACAAAACGTATTTGATCATGGAAATTGGGACACAGTGGGGGAATTATTTTGGGGATATTTTTATATTATTATTATTTAAATAGAATAATCAATATTTTATGTAGTCATTAGTAGTAATTTAATTATAATTTGCTATTTAATTTTACGTTAAGAATCAAATACTTTTTTTTATAAACCTAAAGGACAAGAATTGAGATATTTTGTAACAATTACCCAATTGTTTATTAGCTATACCCCTCGCTAACAGAGGAAAACATCGTATGAAATTAGCACGTCAAACTACTTGGAGACACGTATAAGTCGTACAAGGGTTGACGACGATAACGATGATGATGGTGAAAATAAAATCTGAATACATATTTAAGAGGTATCTCTAAGAATAGAATCTGCTCATGCATTTTTACGAAAATCTAAGAGCGTAGTTATTGTTTAGCTAATGAAATGGACGACAAATGGTTATATTTATTAGACTGATTAATGCGCGGAATACTTAGCAGCTGAGTATTAAAAAAATCTAATTTAAAAAATACTAAGTAATACATAGTTACCATGACGCAAAATCTCAATTATGTTCAATATCTTAAAATAAATGCTGATTTAATTTAAATAAATTGCCTGTATATCTTTTATTACGAATTTGTAGGTAAGATAAGAAGATAAATACTTTTTTTTACCAACGACATACATGATTCCTCATGTACCTACATACGTTTTATTTCGTCCTTATTTGTAAACTAGGAACATTAAGTTTATTTTGCTCCTTTATAAGTACCAACAAGAGCACAATAAGCTTGACACTTTGGACTTATGGAATTTTAGTGTTAAATTTAAATATTAAGTGACAAGCTTGGGTTACTTTTAACCACTGATTGGTTGACTTGTACAGACAAGGCTCAATAAATTTTTTTAAGCACACTTTCACATTCTACGCAGACGATATCGCGGGCACCAGCTAGTTTATAATAAAGGAATAAGTAAATACATCATCAGCATAAATATCAGGCATTCTTCGTTAATTTTTAAGTAGTTTAAACGGATATTATGAAAGTGAAAAACAGAAAGTATAACATTAATAAATTCGGCCAGATTCTGCGGATATCCACCTTACAAAACATTGCGTGGCGACGAGGTCACTAACCAACCTAGGCTATCGCGGGTACAGCGCAACCGACACCGCATGACGTCTGAAAACGTTTGCGCACGTTTGTATTACATATCTACCACTAACTACATTGTATACTAGTAAAGAAAACATCATGAGGAATAGTGGATATTGGAGACAGTTCAAAGAAACAAAACAATTGAGGATTTGTGATAAGCAGTTACAATGATTAATGCAATATCTACAATGCCAATTAGAAATGAGTAGAAACAATCAGTTTTTAATACTTTCACTCCCTCTCGTCGACCTAGGTGGCCCAACGGTTTATGCGACGGGCGCTGGTTGATAAGGAGGACCAGGGTTCGGTTCCCGATAGGACAAAATTGGGAAATGAACTTTTCTAAATTGGTCTAAGTATTTTGGGAAGCGCCCCAGAGTGAATTCCGTTGATATGGACAGACCTCCCAATTGCTGAGGTTGTCTGGCACATTACATTATTTATTATAAGGAAATGAAACTATTTTTTTGGGATCTATGTCGCGTATATTTGTTTTTTCAAAGAAACAGGTAAGTCAGTCAGCCCGTGACCATGGGATCTGTAAACGGTCCAAAACGTTGGTTTGTTTGAATAAAAAAAAAAACTAAAGTACGCGATTTTGATCCGAAAAAAAAAAATTGTTTCATTCCCTATGTGCAACAATCGCGAAAACCTAAGAACTTGACTATTATTATTATTACTCTGTACATCACAACATAAGAAAAGCTGAAGTCAGTTCTACTGTTTTCCCTGACAGACAGATGACTCCACTCCACCTGATGTTAAATAGAAAATAGAGGGTTTTAAGCAGCAGTAGAGATCCTTGTGAAAGGGTTCGTTCAGGGAAGTACTGCTACCTTACCTATTTTTGCCGCCACGCAGCAATGTTATCATTACTACGTTCCAGTTTAGAAGGGTAAGGGTGCTGGTGAAATTACCTACATGCATATGGGACTTGTCAACTTATGTCACGGTGACGGGCGCAGTGGCAGTGTCCCTCATGTCTTTGCGATATAAAGCTCTGAATGGTACTGCCACTGCTATGGACAGGCATGTAGCTTACCACCAGGCACACGACTTGTTCGTACCGTCACTTGATATTATAAAAAAAAGTCCGAACGTGAAGGGACTTAGTGCAGTGTTGATGCAATCACCGCCGCCTCCACCCTGCATGGCTATAAGAATGCCTCTTCACGGCTCGTTTGAAGAACCCCGTATCATAAGAGGGAAGAAGTTAATGCGTTAGATGGGAGTTCTATTTAACGACTTTGCGACAGAAAAAGATACCATCAAACCTTTTAGTTCGCGATGGAAATAGATACAGCAAGTTGTAAAACAGTGACTACGGAGGTCAGCACGCGTTAAAAGTTTTGTATAAATATTACTATGGATTTCTCTATAGTAGCTTTAAAATGAATAACAATTTGAATTGGGCCATTATTTGTCCGGGTGATGAGCGGCTGGATAATGTCGTCGTGCAGAGGGGATGGGACGACATTTTGTGTGGAAAGGTCAGTTCATTATTATTGGACGAGGCATTGGATGCTAACGTGGCGCGTCTAAGGGCCGCAACTAAGCCCGAATCAGGAGCGTGGCTGCAAGCGTTGCCTTCTCCCCATTTAGGCACTGATTCGTTGAGATGATGCTAGATAATAATTCGTTGAAAATTGCCGTTGCTTTACGGTTGGGATGTAAGGTTTGTGAACCGCATCACTGCATTTGAGCGGTCATGGTTGAGAAAAACGGCCACCACGGCCTTAGTTGTCAGAAGTGCGCGGGGAGGTTTTCAAGATATCATGCAATAAATGATTTAGTTCGCCGGTCTTTAGTATTGGCTAATGTGCCCTGTGTCTTGGAGCCTCCGGGGCTGCGCCGTACAGATGGCAAGAGACCTGACGGCCTTACACTGGTTCCGTGGCAGAAGGGTCGGTGCCTTTTGTGGGACGCTACGTGCGTCAGTACGTTTGCACCGTCCCATCTGAGTCACACCACCAGATCTGCCGGGTCAGCTGCAGAGTAGGCGGCAAAATTGAAACATGCCAAGTGCAGTGCCTTGAAGCCGATGTACAATTTTGTGCCAGTTGCAGTGGAGACTGCGGGAACTTAGGGTGCGGAGGCCAAAGAACTCATCAGGGAGTTGGGTCGTCGGCTTAGACAAAGAGGCTATGATCCACGCACTGGATCTTACTTGGTGCAACAAATTTCGTTGGCTATTCAGCGCGGTAATGCTGCCAGTGTTATGGGGACGTTTGAGCCAGCTAAGATTCAGAGTGGTTCTGTTTCATTCTTATAGTTAAATAGAAATGACTAAGTCTAGCGAATTAAATAATTAATTTCTTTGTGATGAAGCCTACGTTGCGGATTGACATAATTATGTAATTAATTTAGTTTTGAAATGAATTGAATTTTAACATTTAAGTAAATGAAAAAAAAAATTTTTTTATAACATTTTTAACAATTATTAATAAGTCTTTATTATTAGTGTCCTTGTTTATGTTAGTTATCTGTGTTTTAATTGTATTTTATTTTTGATTTGAATGATATTTTCACTTCCATTTACTTTGAAAGAGGACTAAATATATTTAATATTAAAAGTTACATACCTATGTAACAATTTTATTATTCTCTGTGATATGCGCGAATAGATGCACAAGGCAAATGCACGTGATATCACGTGTCATTAGCAAATGACTGTGCTCTTATGTTGTTATCATTGTATACTTCAGAAATCCTTGTTGTTTAAAAAAAAAAAATCATATACTAAGGGCGCATTCCCGTTATGTCGTGACAACAGATAGTCGTGGAGTTTAAAGTGTCGTCTCTTGTGTGTTTAAATGAAGTTGTTCACAACAGGATTTCACGACTTTTTTGACGTTACGCGCGACAGACTGTCGTCACAGTGGGAAGGGCAAGAACGACTTTCGTTCGATGATAAATATAACATCACGATAAAAATGTGACGACAGATAATCGAAAGAAAGAAGAAAAAGATTCAAACGATTCTGTC